AAAAAAAAAAAAAATAATCATTAGAACGCCTTAGTGTCAGTATTTACTGGGTCCTGAATTGCTAGTGTAGTTCCATCATGCTTAAGAATTGCTGCAGTTTAAATCATTTTGTTGCACAGAAATTTTTAATTAAATAGGATTTTTATGTTACACAACTAGACATACTGTATGAACCAGTTGTCTGATTATTTTTCTCAACATGAAAATGGGTGCAGTTAGATGACTCATATCCGGTATGTTCTTGTTCCATCATAAAAGACAACATTTCTCCTTCATTTTTTTTTTTTATTTTAAAAAGACCAGTGTAAAATCTCAAAAAGATTTAACCTTAATTTCGATACATGAAAACGCCATGAATCTTGTACCATATTCTAACATTTAGTTAATGTTGATTTGCTGTATTAAAGATTCATTTTGTATATAGGGTTGTTTGGTTGTCGATAATCAGCTCATAATTTTAAAAGTTCTTTAAGTCCCTTTAAGGGCTAGAAACACCACACTGTAAGCGCTTCCCTTCTCACAGAGCCCCGTAAGGGAGGTGGAAGGGCTGGTGGTGTGGGTGTATCCCGGGACTGCAACCGTGGGGATTATTTGAGCTTGCTGACCGGCCGCTCAGGTGCTGGAGATGACACTGAGAACACAGCGTCCTTAGACATTTCACTGGAAAGGCACGGCAGTCACATAATTAGCAAAAGGAACTGACATGTCCTGAGGTTGCTCTGAGTGAAATACTTCCTAGCTGATTGGGGAGAATCCAGATCTTTTGGCGGGAGTGGGGTTGTTTTGAAACAAAGTGTCATTTTGTTTAGGATAGCCTTGAGCTCTTACGTACCCATGCTGGCCTCAGACTCAAAACAGCCTTTCTGCCTCAGCCTCCCAAGTGCTGGGATTACAGGTGTGCACCACCATACCAGGCAAGAACTTCAGATCTTAAAGCACAACTTAGAAGTGTTCTATAAACATCTGAAGGGTGTTCACTGTGAGGGCTGAGGACTTTCCTCATCTCTTTCTGGCTATATTCAGATGTCAGCGTGAAAAAGCAGTTTTTATTTATACTATTTGCTGTCCTCAGCTTGGTGTCACAAGGGCAGATATCTCCATTGAAGGAGAAACAGAAGATTGGAAGTTTTGCTGCTACCAAGGAGTAGTGTTACTCGATGGAGTCTGAGCAAAGCCCTTACTCTCTAGCATTTGGTAGTGAAGAGAAGATTGCTCAGTCCTCTAGAAGTCTAGTGTGGCTGCAAGAGAATTAGATGTGTTATTGGAGTGTCTAGTAGCATGTCCTTGTCACCTGCTCAGTGTTCGGACTAGTTCGCCAGTGAGTAAAGTCTAACATTCAGGGTCTAACGAGTATCAGATACGGCAAAGAAATGCCACCTCTGTCTGAGGAAAGTACTGAACTTGTTTTTGAAAAGTCTGGCTTTGAGCTACATATTGGCAAAAATAAAGGTGTGAGCCCAGCACAGCTTGGTAAACGTGGAACAGTAGACCTCTGCAGGGCATATGCGTGCTTTCCAGAGGTCCCTGGGAAATCGCCTCTGGGAGGACTTAACCCCTGTGCGTTGCTTTCTGCCTCACCTGCGGGCTGGCAGATCCGTCCTGAGGCTCAGCCCATCTCAACTACCATTTCCTCAAAGGAGGTCTCTGGCCCTTAGACCAGGGTAGGTTCCCAGCCCTCTAGGCGGGCGAGTTTCTTACAGAAACTATACATGTATGGGTGGCACAGTTTTTAGGGTCATTGTCATAATGTGTGTCTGGCATATGCCTAGCTCAGAAAACAGTTGAATGACTTAAGATTTATTTGAAAAAAATCAAGATTGTTAAAGCCATGTCAGTTACATAAAATCAGTATGTATTTTCTTTTTGTCTGCCAATTAGCAACTTGACAGTTTCTTGAATAAAGGAAATACTGGCCTTGGAAGTCACCCACCAGGGTTCTCTTGAACTCAGAGCTGATGCTTATGAGCATAGAGTCCTGCAGCTTTTCTCCTTGTTTGGGTTCCAGGAAAGTTATTTCAGAACTTGTATTAAATATTTTGTAGTACTCTAATGGAGAATTAGCAGTAATGCAAAAAATTGAAAACGTGGTTCTATTTTCCAAATCTGGGCATTGATTGCTTTTGAGTGAGTGGCTTTATGATGCGGAGGTACATCGTCTAACTGTGTTCTTTGCAAGTCAGGTACTGAGTTAAGTGACAGTTATCTTCTTGGACTTAGATAAAAAAATGTAAAGTTGTACCAGTACCAAAAAGCACATGTTTCTAAGCTGCTTAGGCAATGTGAGGTTTAAAATTCCTGTTTGGGAATGTGTTGTTGAGGAATGTTAAGTCATAAAATCTTGTGTTACAAGATTTTTTTGCATTTACATGAATTTTCACTCATTTTTCAGAATCTGTTCCTAGAGACAGAGAACCCAATACAAAAATGAGAACATGTATGCATAATCAGAAGGATGCAGTGCAAATGCCTAGTGAAACTCTGAAAGCAAAAGTGGTACCTGAGAAAATTCCCCGCAGATGTGCTACTGTGGCTGCAAATAAAATAAAGATAATGAGTAACCTAAAACAGACGATTTCAGGACCAGAAAATGTCTGGATTAGGAAGAGTAGCAGAAAACTGCCCCATCGAAACGCTTCTGCTGCGGCTAAGAAAAAATTACTGAATGTTTATAAAGAGGATGATACAACCATAAATTCTGAAAGTGAAAAAGAGCTAGAAGATGTTAGTAGCAAAATGTTTTTTCTAAGGCGGTTCAGACCCTGGAAGGAAAAAGCGCAATAGCGACTGAGAATGTAGAAGTGGTTTCTGGAAGCGAGCAGGGGCCTCGAGTAGAGTGCAGCCGCCTCTGCTCCTCACCCTGCCGCGAACCCCTTGTTGCCTCCCGTGAGGAACTTTCTAAAAGCCATACTCCAGCGGTCAAGGATGCTCTCCCGAGAGCCCGTGTGCAGACACGCAATACAGGAGGTAGACTGTGAGCCTGTAGGCCGAGGAGGTAGGCTGTGCGCCCTTAGCGAGGTGGGAAGACGAGACAGGGCCTATTGCAAGACTGCCATCCCTTCCAGAAAGCAAAAGCCTGGAAGAAATGTCTTGATTTGTTAGAGAAAGAAAGTGGGAAGTGGACAGGATATGCAGGAAAAACTTTTAAGGGGTTAGAAAATTTCAAAAGCTCAAGCTGATGCTGATTTTACGGGTTCTCCATTAGAACATAAAAATTCAGACCACCACAACTATCTATCATGGCAGTACAGATATGGAAGGGAAAAAAATGGAACACATTTCCCCAGGAAGTGCCAATGAGCCCATTTGACTTCGGGATGGCACAAAACCTTTTGTCCCTTTAGTTCACATCCCCAAAGCTCAAAACCGAAAGGACCGAGGGATTTCATGCTGGCGATGTTAGTTCTGATGTACAGTGTTAGAAATGAGCAGTTGGAGAAGATCCATTATTGTCTTATTTTGTTTATAACATTGGGATTTATACTGAATGATCACTTGGTATGACTAATTCAGGGATTATATATTTTTCTATGAAAGCTATGAATGTGACTATCACTTCATGTAGCAGCAAAAATTAAGAAGCAGGCTTAGTTTTAATTAGAAAATAAAAGTCTAGTTTAAGATCAAATTGGTCATATTTTTAGATGATATAAAATCCTATCTTTTATGTTTATGGCACCTTAAAGTTAGAATTTAGACACTGAGCAAATTTATTGACAGCATGTCTGGTCTATTTCATTGTGGCCTTTGCTAGGATTAGAAAATTTGGTCATTGTTCTACAGAGAATTTATTTGCAATGGGGCTTGATTTGTTAATAGGTATTTGTTGACATTAAGATCACCAGATTAAGTGAATGTACTGCCAGTACTTTTTAACATAGTAAGATGCTATTGGAAAAATTAATTGTTAAAGATCTGTGACTATTAATACATGATTTGCATGTGCAAATATGAAAAAGTAAAAACGTAGAAACCTAGAGTTTTCTATTTCTTTTTCATAAAGACTAATGCATATTTTTTCGTTATACAGATGGACCAAGTGTCTAGATTACTTGAAATATTTGTGGCTGCATGCTTGTTTACAAAAGCTTTTTTAAAAAAGTATAAGCCAGAATATTCTAAACTACAATGTGTGTACATTTCTCTTTTGTAGTGTACTTTAATTTGAAATACTGATCTCCATTAACTTGCTAGAACAGGTAAGAAAGGAAAAGATCCTAATAAACTACTGTTAATTATAAGTGCATGGGGTTTGATTTTGGAGCTTTAATGAAATGCACAAACTAATTTTCAGTCTCTAGTTTTCATTTCATAGACATTTCTTACTGGGTATATTATATCCTCAAGAAATATAACAAAATAAAAAAGTCTGAAATGCAAAATTTCATGAAAAATTTCGGGTTTGTGATGAATTTAAATTTTCAGTTTATAATTTACTGCACTAGGATTAATTTCTGTCAGTATCTGAGATTGTATGGACAGCCTGTCATAATGGAATCCTTTGTCTGGCTTCATATTTAATTTGAACATATACTTGCCTTTTCATTTTTAAAGTGCTTGCCCTAATTTTTTTGTAAGTGCATGAAATAAGCATTTGTTCAAAACTTTACATTCTTGCAAAATTGTTCTCTATGAACTGTCTGGAAAATTTATAGCCAAATGTATTACTACTACTCTACAATAACTGTAGTTAGATTTCCAGAAAAGGTTTCTTTATAATGTAACTGAGAAATCAAATTTAATGGTTTACTGGTCATATGACAAATTATTTAACAGGAGGACTAAAAATGATGTCCAAATAACGTCTTACTCTGTAATTCATTGTTAGCCCTGTTAACCAGGAGTCCTCGTGTTTTAAAATATACTGGTAGTCTTGTATATTCTTTCTCACTAACGAATACCCAGTTTCCTAAGCTTTTACTTGCTGGCGGTTTGGTTTTATTTATTTTTATTTTTATTTTTTTTTTGGTTTTTCTCCGGTACCGGGAACTGAACTCACGACCTTGCGCTTGCCAGGCAGGCGCTTTTGCCGCTGAGCTAAATCCCCAGCCCCTGGCGGTTTGGTTTTAATGTTTATTCCTAACTATTAATTTTTTAAAACAGATGTGTAAAATTGCTAAATAGATTATATGTAAATAACTTTGTTGATTGCTACTTTTCCACATCTTAAGACATTTTCAGCTATTTTTGAGTTTTTAAAAAAATTTCAAGGCTCTGTGCAACTCCAAAGTAGTACTTCCCTTCCCTTTGTGAGTACTGAGAAAAGACTCTGAAATGCCATCAATGCTTTATTTCAGCACAACGAAATCTAGAATGCGGTTTTTATTTTTCATTGCAGTAGGAGACAGTTTCATTTTCAGTTAAATTACACTTGTCCCCTTTCCTCCTGCCTGCCTGTAACAGTGCCCTGTGAACGCTGTCTTCAGCACATGGTAAAGAGAGAACCAATTCAAAATTATAATCATATACGTTGCTTACTAATGAAAAGCTGTTTAAACGAAAACCAATTTGTATTAGTTATAAATGGCCAGTTTAAAAAAGTCTATTTTTGCATTCTCATGAAAATGTTTTTTAGGTCAGCTTGACTGACTATCATCAGCTTTTGAAATGTGAGCTCCTGTATCCGAGTAAAGGTCACATTTTTACAACACCACGAAGCACTGTGTTTCTTCCTGCCCGTCCGCCCGCCCCGACCGCAGCGGCGCCGGCGCACGGGCGGCCAGGTGTGGAACAGGTGCTTAGCGTAGCAAAGCTCAGCCCGGTCACCCCTAACGGAACACCAAGGAAGGAGACCGACGGGGTGTGCTCGTCACGGAGCGGTACAGAACGGGGCGGGGACGGCCAAGCTCCGCTCCGCACCGGCCACCTGAGACGTCTCGCTCTCTGGCTCGCTTCCGGTCCCTTTAGCCCGCGGTCTCCCCGCGCGGATCAGGCTGTGGAAGGGAAAGCAAGTGCTGCCGGGGCCGAGGCGGGGGCGTGGCCACGATCGGGGGCGGGGCACTGGGCGGGGCGGAGGAAGCGCGAGAGCGGGAGGGGCGTGGCTACGCTCAGCAGCGCATGCGCCATTCCGCAGCCCGCGGTAGGGCCGGGCCAGTGCCGCCGGTGTCATGGCTGCCACGTTCTTCGGAGAAGTGGTGAAAGCGCCGTGCCGGGCGGGCGCGGAGGACGACGAGGAGGAGGAGGAGGAGAGGAGGCGGGAGACGCCCGAGGATCGGGAGGTGCGGCGGCAGCTGGCGCGGAAGAGGTGCGTGAGGGGCGGTGGGCGGCGTGGCGCTGGGCAGGCGGGCGGGCCCCGCGTTCTTAGCGTAGCCCCTCTCCCGGCAGCCTGGCGACTTTCCACCTGGGTTCCCAGTCTGCTCCGTGGACTCGGGACACTAACTTGCGATCCTCCTGCCTCAGCCTCCCACAGTGCCGGGACTACAGCGGGACGGTTCCCTCAGAACGCTTTTTATCCTCCACCCCATCTGGCAGGTAGCATAGTGTGTCAGCCGTAGGGGGATGCGCTGTCCTTGGCATTATTTCCAAACACACACAAGTGGGAGAATAGCGACGTGACCCCGACCGCCACACAGTCGTGTGGATTCAAGCTGTGAAGGTGCTTTGGTTATCGTTGCCATTCACCTCTACATTTCTTAGAACGCGTCTCGAAAGTGTGAGGCGTTTTCTTACCTAGGTTATTAGCAGTGATTTTCCAGTAACATTTGTGTTCACTGGGTGCAAGTTACCTAGTTTTCTCAAACCTGAGACTTTGCAGTGATTTGTGTAAATCAGAGTTCGAACGAGGCCCACATCTTACACGGGGAGGGCTTGTTTCATGGAAAGCAGTTCGCAGCCCTCGTGTGTGTGTGTGTGTGTGTGTGTGTGTGTGTGTGTGTGTGTCTGTGTTATAGGGATTTAATCCAACACCTTTGCACTGAGCTCCATCCTTCGCACTTTGGTTTTTCTTGAGACAGCATCTGTTAAGTTCCTAGGTTGCCCAGGCTGGGCTTGGAATTTGCCATCCCCCTACCTCAGCTTCCCAGCCTGCTGGGATTACATCTGCGCTCCCCCTTCCTTCATCGTCCCAAGCGTTCTAGATTTGTCTGAGTGTGTCCTCCTGGAGTCATTTAACAGCAAGTGTCCATCACCTGCGTTTCTCTCCCTGCAAGTTCGTGCTGGAGGCCCCGGCAGATTCACATTCAATGTTTTGTGAGCATGAAGGCTTGGAAGTGGTGCTTTCAGTTCCTGATTTACACAAGCCAGTTGCCTGATGTTAGGGATGCAAAGATTGACCAGTGGGTCAGGTGGGCAGCATGAGGTTTATGCGCAGTAGTTTTATCTGTTGGTTATCTTTATCTGAATCTTAACTTCTTTAGGATTGTAATTAAAGGCTTTATAAAATTAAATCCGCGTGTTTTCCCCATTGGCAAAGGCACTGGCACAGCTGGGTGGTGCCCTTCCCTCAGAATGAACTGATTGTAGTTGAGTTGCCTCAGGTTCATCTTGTCTCTTATGTTAGGGAGGTGCGACTTCTTCGAAGACAGACAAAAGCATCTCTGGAAGTTGCTCTGCTGGAAAAATATTCCTGCTCACGGTTTATTATTGCTGTAGGAAATAATGCAGTAGGTAAGTGAAGATGTGGAGGGTGAGACATCTGTTGAAAGAACAAAATAATGAAGTTACTTGTTTCTTCTCATCGTATAAAATCCCAAATGTTGATTTAAGTCACGGTAGAATATCTTCGTTTATGAGTAAATATGTTATCTGTTTATATGTACCATCTATTTAATGAACCTAAAAAACAAGATTTTAAAGGAAGTATCCTTGGCTTCAGGAACTTGCTACTCAAAGGACTGTTTCTCGTGTGTTGAGGTATCTAGGTTTGAATGTCTGAAAATTAACAGATCCCTTTGAGAACATAAATGAGAATTCTGAAAATAATAATCACTGATATTTTTGAGCACTTAAGTTCATTGCTTCTGGTAGTTCACTTGGTGAATCACTTGTTCATCTGGTAGAACAGTGTAGGGTTTAGCTAGAGCAGTGTACACTTGTTTTATAAATTTAGGGTGCTCGGAAGAGCGTTTGGGAACCCCAGTTGTAAGATGCCGCTTGTCCCTGCAGAACTTAGGACACCCATGTAATTAGCAGCTGCCTCATTCATGTGAAGTTCTCCGGGCTTTTTCAGAAGACTGCTGTCAGGCTGTGAGAGTGTGGTGAAGCCTGCCCACGAGATCTGTTACCTTTTCCCGCAGAACGGTAGCATCCGATGGTCCTGTTTCAGCCCCAGACTTCTTGGCTAACTTGAGCTTGCTTTTTATTGAACAGAAAATATAATTTGCAGAGCCGAGCACTAAGCTGCATGAATTATTTTTTTCCACAGCATTTTTGTCGTCCTTTGTTATGAATTCGGGAGTGTGGGAGGAAGTTGGTTGTGCTAAGCTCTGGAATGAGTGGTGTAGAACAACGGACGCCGTGCACATGTCCCCCACAGAGGCTCACTGTGTGTTCTATCACCTCAAATCAAACCCTTCGGTACGTGCCACCGACCTGTCTGTCCCGCAGGGGGTCACCCCAGTGTCATTGAGAGCGTGTTTGCTGGCCGTGTACCTCAGGTTCTCAGGCACCACATCTCAGCTGCTTTCTTAGCAGCTGTGTGAAATGGCTTCACTTGGAAATTTTAAAGCAGATGGTCGCTAGTGGAATCAGGCAAGTGTGAGTGAATGTTCGTGTTGGCCAGCTTTTGGCCCCTGTAACAAACACATGGAGCAGCCTGCTTGCAGAGAAACAGGCCTCCCTTGGCTCATGTTTTTGAGGTCCCTGGTGGGGCAGACCACTCGGGGTGTGCTTGGGGGCAGGGCAGCACAGGGCATAGCAGAGTCACTCGCTGCTTGGCCTGGAAGTGAGAGAGGAACAGAGACTGGGGCTCATGGTTCCCTCCCAGGGCGCACCTGAGGCCTTCTGTTGATGGCTGTAACTCCTACCATTTTCACCCGGCTGGGAGAGAGTTTGGGGGTGGCGTGAGCTCTGAGAACTGTGTCTATGGCAGTGTACCTTTAGGGGTCTCATGGTAGGAGGCAGTGGCAGTTGGTGGTGTGTAAAATTTGATTTGGCCCAAGTCTTGAAATTTGCCTTTGTAGGTTTTCCTCTGTCAGTGCAGCTGTTACGTTGCTGAAGATCAACAGTATCAGTGGCTGGAAAAGGTAAGAGAGAAATGGAAACCTGGGACTGGGTAGGCTGCAGGAGTTGCCGGTTTCAGAGGACTCAGCCTGTAGACAGATACTGGCAGTTCATGAGAACTGCACTGAGCTTCTGTCTCGTCCAGGCAGAGCAGCTGTTATCAAGAATACAGAAAAACAAGAACAAAAAGCAGGAAATGCTGGTGAGGCTGCAGGCACAGGAAAGGATCCTGTCCACACCTGGGGGAATGTGGACCAGTCAACCACTGTGGACATGGGTGGGCCATTTCCTTAGAGCTGAACCGGGCTCCTGTGTGTTCCACTGGGCATGACTCCGTGTGACCCTGGAGGAGTAGAGATGCTGTCTCTTGCCTGTTAAACATGGCCTGTGCAGACACCATGCTTTGGGGTTGGCCAAGTGCCACCAGTGGCTGAGGTGGTGTGTCCAAGTGTCAGCAAGGAGGGCGGAGTCCGGTCCTTGGCAGGAGAAGGGATGGAACCAGAGGCAGGTAGCACATGTTGTGTCTCCTGCGTGGAGTCAGGCGCGGAGGAAGCACAGTGCAGAAGTAGAAGGGAGACTGTGCATTAGGTCAGAGAAGGCATGGGCGGGAGGATGAGCGTAGTCACATTTGGATACATGACCCAAAATGTCACAGACCCAATATTCTGCATGATTAATACATCCTAATAGAAATATGCAGGAAGGGAGTTTGGAGTATTCTTTAAAATATTGTAGGAGTTTGGTGTAGAGTATAGAAAATAAAAGAATTCATTTTTTTTAACATGCCCTACTTAAAGAGACGCAATCTACGTTGTGCTAAGAGTTCTAGCTCATAGAAGTAACAAAACCAGATGTGGTGGTGCATGCCTGTGATCTAGCATTCAGGAGGCCGAGGCAGGAGGATCACTGCAAGTTTGAGGCCAGCCTGGGCCACATAAGACCCTGTCTCAAAAAACCAGAACAAAAAAATGAAAGAAAAAGGAAGAAAGCAGTAAACATAGTTGGGTTCTTTCCATCCACCTTATTGAAAGAAAAGCAAAGTCACATAAAAGATCAGTGTCACAACCAAGGGTGAAAACCGGCAGTGAGGATGAAGGAGAGGCTTGAAAAGGCAGCGGGCCAGTGGAAGGGCACTTGCCCCGGCCACCATTCCCTCCAGCTCCATGGTGTGGCATCTGTGTCTCTTAGCAGTAGGTGGATTACTCATCCGTGGAGAAGCGATACACATATCGTGTGCCTATAGAGCACATTTTTGAGTGAAGGATTGAACTCAAGTAGGAATTTGAGAGAAAAACTATAATTTTGGCAGTGTAAATCTTTCTTCAAACAGTTGGGGCTAGAAGTGTTTGTGACTTCAGCTTTTTTTTCTTTTTTTGTCTTTTTGAGACAGGGTCTCGCTATGTAGTTCAGGCTGACCTTGAGCTCACTTTATAGCCCAGGCTGGTCTCGAACTCACAACGATCCTCCTGCCTCAGCCTCCTGAGTGCTGGGATTATAGGCGTGTGCCACCACTCCCAGTGAGAGTACAGCTTTGTTTGCACATACATAATGACACTTTGGGGGATGAGACCCAGGTGTACACCCAGACATGCTTCACACACACCTTGTATACGTAGCCTCAAGGCTATAGATAAAATATGTGTGCAGTACTTTTAACAGTGTTGTGTGTGCAGCAAGGCGCATGGTGTGAAAGTCTCCATTTGTGCAGCGTGAGTGCTTGAACATTTCCCTTTCTGGAACATTCTAAGGTTTACATTTTAGTTTTTTTGTTTTTTTTTTGGTTTTTCTCCGGTACCAGGAACCGAACTCACGACCTTGCGCTTGCCAGGCAGGCGCTTTGCCGCTGAGCTAAATCCCCAGCCCAGGTTTACATTTTAGGATTTGAAATGCTCTCTTGTGTGCTCTCTCTCACTCTCACGCTCTCTCTCTGTCTCTATGCATATATAAGCATCTGTTTCCTCCCAACGTTTATTTTTATAGTGCAGGGAATTGAACCTGGGACCTCAGGCATGCTAAGCAAGTGCTCTACTACTGAGCTTTGTCCCCAGTCCTTATTCTTATTTTTAATAGACCCGAAACTGTACCTCTCTGTAGGGTGGAGTGTGATATTTCAGTCTGTCTGTACAGGGTGGGGATCAGGGTAACTGGCATACGCCTCACCTCAGCATCAGTCATTTGTTTGAGCCTCCACACTTAAATGAAGTGGGCCCTGGAGGCCTTACCCGTCCTCAGCAGCGCCTCAGTTTAAATTTCTGGAGTATTTTAGCATAGACCTGAGGACTGAATGAATGAGAAGGAAGACATTTGGTATAATACCGATTTTAAGCCAGTCGGCACACTTAGAAATATTTACTATAAGTTAGTACATGACTTTATTAAGGGGAGAGTTATTTAAACAGATCTGTGAACACTCTTACATGAGTTTCTATTCAGTGGATATATGTGTATTTTCCTGGGGGAGAGGGTCAGATCTGAAAAGGTTAAGAAATTGCTGTTTTAGTTTCTGCTTTTAAATTGTGTAGGTTGGGCCGGGGATGTCGCTCAGCGGCACAATGCCTGCCTGGCAAGCGCAAGGTCCTGAGTTTGATTTCTGTCACACACACCCTACCCCACCCCTCCAAATTGTGTATGTTGATATGTCAGTGCTGCTTTTTCTGTACTGTGGAACAGATGAGCACATTTTAGATTTGAAAAGACACAAGATTGTGCATTTCTAAAGCAATATATTTTAATCAGCTTTTTTTCCCTGAGGGGTGTCTTTGGGTCCCTCTCTTTTGGTCTCATCATCCAAACGATTCTGATAATTACCCACAGACTTCACAGCTCTCAAGTACTATACTCTGCTAGGGAGGAAAATAAATTAGGCCTCTGAATAATGTTATCCTTCTTAAATAAGATGTACATAGTAACAAACTTGCATAGTGTTAACTTTTCTCTATTTACAAAGCCATGACCTAAAAAAATTAAGTCATGTAAATCATTTATGGCACTTAATATGAAATCTTGAACTCCTATTATTGGAAGTAACCATCATAAACTGTTTTCAAACAATTGCAGTAACCTAAACTCTTTTTCCTTTAAAAAAAAATAGCTGCTTTCTTTGTTTAAATGACTGTAGGTTTTATTGAAAGGTAGAGCGAGCCGTGGTAGTCAGGTGGACATTCTCCAGGTTGTGGAAGGGGAGCCTGAGGGCCAGGACGGTTGAAACCTGCCTGTAGTTGGAACTCTTTAAAATGCATTCAGTCAGGACCCTCTTCCACACCTCCCTGGTGGTGGGCGAGAGACAGATTTCCTGTGGATGGTGGCCCATGGTGAGGCTGATTCGTGATTCCTCTGCTGCACATGGTGGCACTGCCCCTGTTTTGGAGACAGTCTCACTGTGTAGTCTGGGCTGGCCTCAAACTTGGGATGTAGCCCAGGCTGACCTAGCTTCGAGACCCTGCCATCTCAGCCTTCTGAGTGCTGGGGTTACCAGTGTGCAACAAACACTGTGTCTTGCTTTGTTTGTTTGTTTGTTTGATTTGAAATCAATTTTGTGTTAGGTTTTCGGCTCCTGTCCAAAGAAGAACATGCAGGTAACTGTTCTCACGTGTCGACATGTCACTGACTATAAAACCTCCGAATCTACTGGCAGCCTGCCTTCTCCTTTTCTGAAAGCCCTGAAAACACAGAACTTCAAAGACCCTGTGTGTTGCTCCTTGCTGGAACAGCCAAATATTGTGCACGACCTTCCTGCTGCAGGTAGGCGGGGTGGAGGTGGGTGACATTCACGTTTATCGCACGGAGAGACCTCCTCAAGGTGGTTTGTCAGTGACATCTAGCAGCAGCAGGTCGCTGCCCTTCCTCGGTGGCTGCAGTCTGAGTGCAGGACATGTGGTTCAGATGTTGTGGAGGCAGAGTTATTGCCTAGAACAGCTCAGCTGCCACACTCCTCTGGGGTCCTGCGCTCTGTCACCCTCTCGGACTGGGACCGGGACTGGCAGCCGGAGTTGGCGGAGCTGGTGTCGTGAGGAGCTGGTGGGGCAGCCTTCCTGTCACACGGGGAGCTTGGAGGGCGAAGCCTCCTCGCTGCTTCTGTGTCTGTTGCTTTAATGCTTTTATTATCACCATTAATCATATCCCGCCCTCACATCAGAAATAGATTGCCGCTTGCTTTTCAGCAGTGTGTATTTCATGGAAAGTTGTATATAATAATGTCTGCGATTGTGTCTTAGTTACTTTCCTTGTTGCTGAGACAAAACGCCCGACACCCAGAGTCAAAGGAGGAAAGGCTTATTTAGCTGTTTGTGGAGGTTTCAGTCTATAGTCGGCTGGCTCCAAGGCAGGGTGGTGTGGCACAGGGTCATCACGGAAGACAGCAGTTCGTGGTGGGCAGGAGGTAGCAAAGCAAGCAAGGGACCTGAGCGCTGTCTTTCTACCCCTGATATCTCACTCAGGCTACTAGGGCGGGCAGCACGCACCTTTCTAAAGCAGTTTTTATTGCTGAGATTATTGCTTACTACTGTTTAACTTCACAGTGATGTCCTAGAGAACCTGAGTGGTGTCTTCCTCGTGTTTCCCTAGTGCTGAGTTACTGTCAGGTGTGGCAGCTCCCTGCGGTCCTGTACCTGTGCTACACCGACGTGATGAAGCTGGACCTGCTGACGGCGGAGGCCTTCAAGCCCGTGCTCTCTTCCAGAGGTCTGAAAGGGCTGGCTAAGGTGAGCTCGAAGCTTGCTGACCACTGGCTGGCTTTGGTGCCCCAGGCCGAGCGTAGCGCGAGGCGCACAGGCGCGGCCCCCAGCCACACGCAGCAGCTGCCCAGCCCGGCAGATTGAACCCAGGCGCCACCTCTCGCGGGCACTTCTGTGACCTGGCGCCTGTTTCGTCCTCCTGCATGGAGTGCGGTTATGTCGCTGGTATCTGTATGACAGGTGGTTTCACTGCTCACGGAGCTTGTGTAACTCGTGAACTCAGGCGTCATGAGTGTGGTGTGTGCCAGGTTATTTTCACATGCATCACCTAGTTTTGAGGAGACTGGGTGTGTGAAGGTTAGAGAATTAGGGAATCGCGTCATGGGCCCTGCCCTGCCCTGATCTGTGGGCTCTTTCCCTGGAGAAACACTTGGAACACGCCCACACACACGCACACGCATGCTTGCCTGTAATTTCGGGTGGTTTAGGGACTCCCTGCCTTCTCTGAGATTCTGACCTTTCAGAAGTACTTTAAAGGAAGGGGACTGGGAGTGTGGTTCCGTGGCAGAGTGCTTGCCTGCCATGTGCGAGGCCCTGGCCTTGATCGCTAGGTGCACGCACGCTCGTGAGCACACATATACTCACAGAAGTGCAGGCACACATACACACGTGCTCCTCTATGTGTGTGTGTGTACGTGTGCAGTGTGTACGTGCGTGTGTGCGTATGTGCCTGTACTTCTGGTCATTTAGGTTCGCTCACTGCGTTGAGTGTCTCTTTTGGGGTGTGTGCTGACTCACTGTTCTGTTCGTGCCCAGCACTGCTGGGCAGCGCGGGAATTAGAGTCATCTCATCGAGGTCCACCACTGGCAGCGCTCAGCACCGGAAGGGGAGATTAAACAGCAGCGTAAACATTGCTGTCGCATGCTTTGGTGGGAGAGTGAGGCGGTTGCACTGCTGAGCACTGGATTTTAGTGTCCAAAGGCAGCCCGAGTTGGTGCCTGGCTCCTGTGTTTGTCGCGGGTTGCAGTCCCCACGTGGGACAGGCCTTAACCTCCCTGGACCGCTGAGCTCTTGCTGCGTGGTTGTGGTCACCGCCAGGGGCCTGAGAGCTTCGCTGACGCGCGCTGGGGCTGTGGCCCGACGTGCTAGGCAGGAGGTTTCTCGTGGAGAGGCGCCCCGCAGGGTGGCCGTGCGGCCAGCTTCAGAGGGCCCGAACCAGAGGGTGAGAAGCGCGGAGGGTGAGCGCGGCTGGGGCCGCTCGGTGCCACTGTCCTGTGGAGCTGAGCGCGTGCGCCTCCCCTGACTGATGTCTTGACAACCTCTTCTCTCCTTTCAGAACGTTCCCCAGAGCACAGAGATTCTGAGGAAGCTGATGACAGCAAATGAGGTTCAGAGTAACATTTATACGTGAGCTGGAGGGCTGTCCTCTGACGTCTGCCAGCGTCCGTTCTGCTAAGAGGCGCAGCGAGCACTGCTTTGTAGGTTACTGTGGAGGGCTGTACATTAAGGGGGATAAAGCAATAAACTTAAAAAACGGTGTCCTTTCCTTTGTGGTTGAGACTGTTCACAACTGAAACAAACCGGACGTTTTTCTTTTATCCACTAGGTGGGAGTATTGTCTGATTTGACATTTTTAAGTTAATGTGGTTAAATTCATGAAAAGCTGCAGACGTCACCAGGTTGGGTTAACACGGTAGAACAGAGTGAGTTCAACGCCAGAATGTGTCAGCCCACACGGCTCTCGGACTCTCAGGGTGAGGACCGTGAAGGGTGGTGAGAAGAAGAAATGAAGACGAGGTACAGAAGGCTGGAATCGGGTGAAGCCCTCGCCGGATGGGAGGGAAGGAACTGCTGAATCGCCACAGCGCGTTTATGCATCTGGCGGGTTGATGTCACGTGACACCCCTCTGCCCGGCAACCTGTTCGCCTGGACTGCCTCGGAGCCTGGTGCTCCCTGGGCTCGCTCCAGGGGCTCTCTGTTCTTGGACCGGCTGTGTTCCAGCTTTAGCTGTTCCCCACAGAAGTGCTGCGTGATCTCTGGAAGCTCCCAACAGGTGAAATTTCTGGATACTTTACAGGACCTACAGTCTTGTGGATAAAGTTTGATGAGAGGGTAACAAAAAGTACCTTATGCTCAAAACAAAATGACATTTGTGTAGCTGGGCGTGGTGCTGTGCGCTGAAGTCCCAGCATGCATGAGGCTGAAGCGGGAGGATCGCTATGGCTCTGAGACCATGTTGGTCTACATCAGTGATGGCGAACCTACAGCATGCCAGAGCAGCCTGTCTGTATCATTGAAAGGGCAGGAAAGTTCAGCATCAGTCGTCTACATCGTGCATTCAAAGCCACTGGACGGTGTCCGGCCAGACCCTATCTCAAAAAGGGAAGACATGGGTGTGACCTGTCCCCACAGATTCCCTCCTTGCCTGGGCTCCTTGCAAGGGTGGCTGCGTGGCCTGTCACCGGTGCACTCCCTTCAGTGTTGTCACTAGGAGTGTGACGTGAGGGGGCCTGAGTTACCCACACCGCCTCTCCACTGCACCCTGCCCTGCGGTGGGGAACGTGGATTTTGTGGAGTTGAGAAATGCGTCTCTGCTCCCCCCGTGAGTTGTTGAATAATGATGTGGATTTGACAAGTCACCCATTTTGTTCACTGTTCTTGGCTGTGGTTGGCAGTGGTTGAATAAACTTGGTTTCTTTGCAGAACCCAGTGTTAGGAGCCCTGGGCGTGATGCATTTGCGAGCATGCCCGGCCGGGGAGAATGGCGCATTTCTCTCATCAAAGGTGCATAGTGGCAGCTTGAGAACTGGGTGACATCAGGCTGGACTAGGTTTTGCATTCAGATGGACCTGTGAACTGGTAGCTACAGGAAAGAAAAGAAAATGCAGGGGCAGGAGAATTCTGCTGAGAAGTTAACATAAGAAACAACTACTAAAAAAAGGAATGCTTGATTTTTTTTTTATCCCCAAAAGAGATAAAGAACTTAGTCCAAAGGAAATTTAAAAAACTGCATGAAATGGCAAGCACAGGTCCTGAGTTCAATTCCTGGTACCAACCCCCCAAAAAAAATGCAGGAAAAAGAGGGATTTTGAAGCCGGCATGGTGGCGCATGCTTATGACCCCAGCACTCATGGAGGCTGAGGCAGGAGGCTCAAAACTCTGAACCCAGCCCAGACAACTTTATGAGACCCTATCTGAAAGAAAGGGCTGTGGATATAGCTCACTGCAGGGTCTTGTGTTCACTCCCAGTACTACGAAAATAACAAAAAGCCCATAAAATCCACTTCAGAATAAAGTTGGCGTTGTGTAGCAGCAAAGAGCAACTGTAGGCCCTGATGTGCGCACGTGGAATGTTGTGTGACAGGAAGCCGTCCTGTGGAGCGTGAGCCCCAGGGCCGCCCCGAGGTGTAGGCAGGAGCGGGTGACGCAGGGATGAGACAGTCCTGTCAACATCTCCGGAGTCACAAGCAGGGCTGTGAGGGGATCTGCTGGAATGCAGATGTGAGGCTCTGCCCAGGTCCAAGGCCTCAGAAACGGGAGGGCTGATGTGGGGAGCGTGCAGGCACAGGTCCCGGGTCAGGCCAGAGGAGGCTTGCCCTCCCTCCGCAGAGGGATGCAGAGGAGAGCGGAGGATCTCCTTCTGTTCTGTGGGGCCCATTGGGTGGTGCCAGCGCCCTCGGCATCTTTCCCCCTCCATGCACTGATGCCCACCAGGCTCCTCCTGCACTCTCGCTGCCACCTCCATCTGAGGTTGACTGTTACAAGTCTGCCAACCTAGCACCACAGGCGCCTCCAAAAACCACACTTCACCTCTGAATGAAGACTAACGGGGCGGTTCCACCCAGCACCATGCTGCTGTCCTGTGTGTGGCCAAACACACTGACCCTGTCTCTGGACCCTGCAGTAGAGGCTGGGTGTGGTGGTGCACGCCTGGCATCCCGACATTTGGAGGCTGAGGCAGGAGGAGCACGGAGAGTTCGTGGGACCCTACGTCATGCAAATGAGATAAAGTCCTTGTGATACAGAGATCAGGCGTGGCAAAGCTGGCTGGAAAAAATAAGCAGGACCTGTCGATCACAAGATCCCGGGGCATCCACATTTGGGACCTCATCTTATTAAAAATGTTTTGCACAGCAAGAGAAGCCAACAGAGTGAAGAGACAACCCACAGCGTGGGGAAAATGTTTGTCAGCTGTTCCTCAAAAGACTATTATCTAGAATATATAAGAACTAAAAAAATCAGACCTCCATATTTTTTGGGGTACATTTTTGATGTACGTAATGATCACATTTATCGTAGAGAAGGTGTCCCTGTACAAGATGCATCTTGCTGCTAGCCTTTTCCCATTCCCCTCCCCTCCCTTTAACCCCGCTTCCCTCCTTATTTACAAAAGCTTGTCTCCATTTTTTCCTTCTATTTTTTTTCCTTGTCCCTTCTTGGATCATAAACTTTATTTCAAGATGTAAGTAAGCATCACTAAACGTGTATATGTGTTTAAGCAATAAAAGGTACAATTTCATTCATTTTTTTTCTTCTTGCACAGGGTGTGGTTACAGTAGAGAATCTGTGCCTTACAAAGTGCACACAGACTTTGCTTCCAGCAAGCCATGGCCAGACTGGGGACTGATCCAGGAAACATGGTGCCGATTTGGTGATGCCATGCTGGTCTCTGCTGCTGGCAGTTGGACACTGGTGGCTGCTGGGGCAGGTCAGCCTTGGTGAGTGGCTTCCAAGTCGTGGGTTCATTCATAAGTCCCACCCGGCAGCTGTGTTCTTCACTTATGTGCCTGTTGGTGATGGCCGTGGCTAGCAGAGAGGCTGTCTAGTGTCTACACAGTGGGGCATTCCGTCCACCCCGATGGTTAGTGTCCTCTGCTGAGGTCGCCCTTTGGTGAGCGTTCAGATGGGACACAAATATCTTCGTATCCTTTCCCACTCAGAGAGGTCTACTCTCATACCTCTTTCCCAAATTACTTTGTGCTAATTTCCCCACCACATTCCTTCCATTCTCTTACTGCCCAGCCAAACCATTGGCTCCAGCGCATGAACTGGGAGAGTCACACACGTGTCACTCTTGTCCCTGTCGGCAAGCCTGGGCGCGTCTGCAGAGGAACACGAGGGGCCCAGAAGCAGCAAGGTGTTTCCAGCCTCCGAGTTACCTTTGCGATGGCCCGGCGGCCACAGCAGGCCACACATGACGCCCTCGGGTCAGGGCCAGGGCCTTTCTCTCCCGGAGCTGGCGCTTTCCTGGGCAGGAAGCGCCTGTTGCTGTGGGAGCCCTGGACTGCGGCCAATCCTGCAGCCTTGGGGCAGAAAGGAATGGGACTAAGTCGTCCTCGTGCCTACACCACGCCATCGGCCACAGTCAGTATGACCAATATGTCGAGCGGCCAGGGAGACGGCAGGACATGGCCACGGCTCCGGGCAGCCTGGGGACGGGCCGCTCAAGTGGGCAGGGTGGCCCAGCGGGGTGTGAGGCTGCTGGCTGACCGGACAGTGGGCCAGTGCATTTCTGTTCATTCTCAGTCACCCACGCTCCATTACCTTCTTGTTGCTGGAACACGACACCAGACACCCACAAGGGAAGGGAGGACGGGTTTATCCTGGCTCGCAGTGTGTAGAGCATTCAGGCTGCAGTCGGCCGACTCCAGGGCCTGGCAGAGGAGAATCAGCTCAGGGCAGGCAGCGGGAAGCAGAGAGATCGAGGAGAGAGGGGGAGACAGACCCTTTGAGGCCGCGCTCCCGGTGAGCCGCTGCCTGCAGCCAGGCTTTGCATACCCAGCTGTAAACCCACGGCGGCCAGCCCAGCGGTTCACACTCCCACGGCCCAGCCCCTCCTGCAGCTGCACCCAGGAGCACCTGAGGCGCTGAGGGGACGCCCAGCTAGAAGCCCTGACACTGTATTCTGTTACAGCAACGAAGAACGGACTGACGCAGATGCTTCCCTTCAAGCCTCGTTGTCTCCTCTTCAGCCCCATGCACACTCCTCTCTGCGTTGGGTTCAAGTCCCGCAGCCCTAATGCCAGCAGCAGAGTGGTAGAAGGAGGCAGGGAGAGAGGAGAAAGCCCAGGGGCTGCTGCTTCATAGGAAGAGGGGTGGGCGAATGGCGCTTTGAGACAAGCTCTGGACAGACGGAGGTGGAGCCTCAGCTCCAGAGGGAGCTTTCTGGGCTCCACACCATCAAATCCTGCCGCTCCTTGATTTAATGGTCCAGCTTGAGAGGGTCCATCAAATGGGTTTGCCAGCGATACTCAACTATGAAAAGTGGTGACCTATTTAACTCAAGGGCTCTCTGGCATTGCTTAAATAACCCCATTACAACCATAAATAGAAGCCTCCTCTCAGCATTCTCTGCAAATTGTGTTTTATTTTTAGTGAAATCCCAGGGCAGCGTCGATCCTCACAGGCACCTGAGGAAAGGAAACAAGGGAAGATGTGAGTTGGATCATTTTGATTGTTTTTCTTTTGCCTTTTTGAGACAGGGTCTTGCTATGCAGATCAGGCTGGCTTTGAGCTCACTCTGTGGGCCAGGCTGGCCTCGAACTTGCAAGATCCTCTTGCCTCAGTCTCCTGAGTACTGGGATTACAGGAGTGCGCCACCATGCCCAGTGGTTGTTTTGGTTTTTGAGACAGAGTCTCACTATGTATCTCAGGCTGGCACTGAACTGACAGTGATCCTCCTGCCTCAGCCTCCTGAGTGTCATTTTGATTACTGTTAACATATCCCATAAGAGCCTGTAGACTGCCCTGACTTTGCTTTCACGGTAACAGATTATGACATGGTGGAAGTCGAAGGTGTCCGTGAAGCCAACTAAGTGTAGTTACTTGTAGGACGTGATAACTTCAAAAGTCCAGAATGTCAGTTTCGCTTATTTGGAATAGGGACAGAAAATATAAGCAAAATCCCTCTCCCCTTCCCACATCGTCATAGACACCTGGGTGTGTAAGGTGCCTTTTGCCTGTATCCATCCATAAAGGAGCAACCATGATGACACAAGGGAGGGACAGGGTTAAACCTCGGCAGTGAGCTGGATGTGCAGGCGACCCCTCAGCAGCCATCCAGTCCTCGCCTTTCCACAGGGACCCAAAGGTGCAGGAGGAGCTCCCGGGCCACGGTGACCGGTTCCACACTAAGCACACTGGTCCAATCGGGGAGCCCGGGGCTGCTACTCAGTGGCCCAGGAAACAAAATCCTTCTTGGTGGCTGTGGGTGAGGCTCCCTGGCGCGTGGAGCGACTGCCAGGCGTCTCACCCCATGACGGCTTGGCACGGAGACAGACCCGTGGCACTTGGAGCCGCAGTCCTGAAGACAAGCAGCGTGTGGCCAAGCTGCACAGGGCTCTCCATCTGAGAGCAGGGCCTCTCGGTCTGTCAGGGTTTCTACCCAGATGTCCCCAGGAGCCTCGGCTGGTGGGCGGGGCTTGTGGGAGGCAATTGGAGCCTGGGGCTTGGAGCTGACTTGCTCTCAGGAGGAGGGCCCGGGGAAGAGGCGGGGCCTGGATGGAAGGGCGGGGCCTCAGCAAAGAGGCGGAAGAGGTGTCACTGGGGGCGTGGCCTGGAGACTATCTCCCTCCCAGTTCCTCCCTCTCTCCCTGCTTCCCTTGTGCCACGCAGTGAGCAGCAATCCTCCAACCAACCCTTCCGCCACGCACCCTGCCCTGCGCTGACCGTGGACTGAAAATGTGAACCTAAATGAACTCCTCCTTTAAACTGTGAGTGTTGGGCCGGGCGTGGTGGCGCACGCCTGTCCTCCCAGCACTCGGGAGGCTGAGGCAGGAGGATCGTTGTGAGTTCGAGACCAGCCTGGGCTACAAAGTGAGCTGAAGGCCAGCCTGAACTGCACAGCGAGACCCTGTCTCAAAAAGACTAAAAAAAAAATTGTGAGTGTAGGGTATTTGTTCTAGCATGAGAACAGGACCCGAGACTCTGTCTTTGCTTTTTCCACTGGCTCCTGTGAGCCGCCCCTGCAAGTAGCCCATTCTCCCTATGGCACTGCGCACAGCCGCCAGCGAAGCATGGAGAAGGGGCTCCTTCCCCTGCTGCTGGGACCTTACAGGCTTCGTGCTCCACCCAGCGTGAGGCCTCTGTGGGGGAAGAGGGAGTCAGGCAAGTTCGCCCTGCAGGAAAACAAGCATGAAATGACAAAGTTCTTAAAGATGCTCGTCCTGAGCCATTGGAAAAATAACCGAAGATAAAGCAGCAAATGAGAAAAATCTACTCGTCAGAATTAATATTATTTATTCCCTCGTCTTCCTCTTCCCCCCGCCTTTTTTTTTGTTTTTTGAGACAGGGTCTTGCTGTGTAGTCCAGCCTGACTTTGAACTCACTGTGTAGCCCAGGCTGGCCTTGAACTCTCAGCAGTCCTCCTGCCTCAGCCTCCCGAGTGTGCACAGGTGTGCACCTCCATTCCCAGTTGTTGAAAACTGCTACTGCAGCCTGCAAGAATTGTCATTTTGTGGCTGGATGCCGGGAGGCTCTAGGAGATCCCGGATGTGACAAATGCATATTTGGTCCTCACGCTAGTTCAAGACCCAGCGCTCCTAGCTTCCCCGAGTCTCTTGGGACACGGGCAGCCTGCCTTCTAAGGAGGCGACTCCCGGAGGCGTCCTGCGCAGCTTCAGGGTGGGCTGGTCCTGGAAAGACCAAGGGGTAGATGCTTGGCTCTTTCTGCCCCGCCCCCATCCAGGGGGAGCCCAGAAGGATGGAGACTGAGTGAATAACTGATGGTGCCTCTGGGGCCCCTCCCTAAAAGCACCTGGACCTGGGGAAGTCAGGGTGGTAAACTCATGGGCGTGCAGGCTGGGGACCCACAAGGACACAAAAGCTCCCATGCCTGTGTTGCGTCCTTTGCAATAGTGAGCGCGCCCCGAGTTTTGCAGGTGTTACAGCCAACTGGCTCACCCAAGACGGGGAGGGTGGGAACACCAAGGCAGTCCCCTCGGGAGGCCTGAATTTGGGATTCATATCTGAAGTAGGGCGCGGACTTGTGGGGCGGAGCCCTCGTCCTTGGGCAGCTGTGGTCAGAGCTGAGTTAACTTGTGGGCCTGGGGGTGCTGTGCAGGAACTGGGCACCCGACTGGTGAGGTGCGGCAGGGCTTGCAGTTGGGGAGGATAGCGGTCCCCTGCCTTGCCCACTGGGGTGCTGAACACCCCCGCTTCCCAGCTGGGCACGGCAGATTTAATTCAGGGAGGCGATGGAGCGGCTGCGGGGTTAAGGGGTGTGGAAGGAGAGACGAAGGGAAGCAGCTGCTGTCCCGCTCGGCCCCTGAGCTTGTGCCCGGACCTCACCTTCTTGTTTCTGGTAAACAGCTTGCAATGTTTTTTTTTTTTTTTTTTTTTTTAAGTCTTTTTGAGACAGGGTTTCACAATATAGTTCGGGCTGACCTTGAACTCACTTTGTAGCCCAGGCTGGTCTTATAACTTGCATCAATCTTCCTGCCTCAGCTTCCTGAGTGCTAGAATAACAGGCATATTCTACCACAGCAGGCTCATGATATTTTTTTTATTATTATTATTTTTTTTGTCTTTTTGAGACAGGGTCTTGCTATGCAGTTCAGGCTGGCCTTGAGCTCACTTTGTAGCCCATTCTGGTCTTGAACTTGCAACGATCCTCCTGCCTCAGCCTCCTGAGTGCTGGGATTACAGGCGTGCGCCACCATGCCCGGCCTCATGATGGAGTTTTGGAAAATAAAAATCTCTACGTTTTAACTGTGGTATTTCTTCGTCCTTAGTGTGATTGTGATACTTGGGTTTACTTCCCCCACCTTGTTTTGTGCGGTCAGTATTCTAGTTTTTGGTCTTTTTTGGGAATCCACTGAGTTTTTCCTCATATCATTTCATTTTTCCCCCGCCTCATTTACTAATTTGTAAGTGACACCAGCAGTTTTAATTCTTTTAGTGGGTGCTTTACAAATTAAAACACATTGGTGTAATCCTCACTTAAAGTGAACTGAAACCTTTGCCCTCCCTGTGGGCGGGGCCCGGATCTTGGGTCACCTCGGGCTCACTGGACACAGGCGCGGAGCCGCCTGGCCTCTTGCTCAAGTGCAGCCCAGGGCCCCCAGGCAGCACGGGCCACAGGGCGCCAGTGTACTTGGGGACTCTTGCAGTTCGCTTTGCACGGCAAAACTGAGTGGAAGATGCAGAGATTCTGCCTCTCCTGTCTCCCCTGGTGCTACCTGCTCGGAGGCACATTTGAGACAAGGCCCACGCGCAGGCAGACCACGCCGCCCCAGCCCGAGGGTGACATCGGGCTCATGCTCGGTGCTGTGCACCCGGAATGTTTGGACTAAATAAAGACAGGGCTGGGGTTGCATCTCAGTGCGAAGGCCATGGCTCAGCTCCCAGTAAGGCACACACACAAGCACACGCACGCACACGCGCACACGCACGCACACATGCATACACACATATACGCACAAGTCCCAGACTGCACTCTCAGATATAATGATAATGGGAAAGTTAAAAATTTTGCAAACATTACCCAGACACAACACAGAGACACAAAATGAGCACAAGCTACTGGGGAAACAATGCCAATAAATTTCCTTCAGGGAGGGTTTGCAGAGCCTGCTCTTTGCAAAAACGTGGGACCTGTGAAGCACACTAACACGAGGCTGCCTGTGCTTCACCCCTACTCGGAATCCCGCAGGCTGCGGGCCGGAGGCTGGTGCCGGGTCCCGCCGTCCCGCAGGCTAAGCCACCGGGGACACCGGAGCGGGGTTGCGGCCCCCATGTTCCACCTTGGCCTGCCAGGAGCTCATTGCAAAGGAAGTCGATTTCAGAGAGTAGCAGGCGATCAGCCTCCATCAACACACACTGCAAATATTCTTCTCAGCAGTGGAAAAATCGCAAGGCTGAAGACTGGCTTCATATTTTAATTTGATGGCTATTTTGTGGTTGGTATTTTAAAGTTTGCTTATGGAATTCTCGACACACAGAAGCTTTCCCCTTTGTGTGAAGTCAAATTTACCATATTTTCCTTTACAGCTTCTGCACTGTGTTATGATTTATGGCCCTGCGTGAAAGATCTTTCACCTCTGAGAGTGTGTAAAGTTCCGTCCGCGTTGTCTCCTAAGGTAACTCATTTTCTTATGGCTGAGCTCCTGTTTTTTGGAACATTTTCTTCACAACAGGGGTAATTTGTTTATATAAACTCTTTGGCTGCTGACTTAAGTGAAAGCTATTTGTTCCCAATTTCGCTAATCAGTGGCTTTGTAAGGAGAAGAAGCGAGATTTCAGCAGATTGCTCTCACCCTTTGATATGCAGTTCTTAGCGTGGCTCTAAGATAAGCATTAAAGTTTCATGGAAAGCTGTTCTGGGGTGCCGAGTCAGCACCATTCCCGTGTATCCGGTGGCACACGCCACACCAGTTCATGTCAGCCTTTCTTACACAGGGAACAACTTTTCACAGCCTCAGAGGCCATGATGCTGTGACGGTGTGTTCACTTTCAGCTAGGAAACTGATTGTGGCCACAGGACCCATTCAGTACGGCACTTCCTCACCAGTGAAGGCTCGGTCCTCCGAAAGTCCCGAACAAACCCAGTGTCTTTCTGTCCCTTCAGCAAGTGTTCTGTGCATCCCTACTCCGGGCATTCTCGGCAGAAATAGGCAGCTGCTGGTAAAAATAGTTGGGAGTTAGCCGGGCAGAGTGGCGCACGCCTGTGATCCTAGCACTCAGGAGGCTGAGGCAGGAGGATTGCTGAGAGTTCAAGGCCAGCCTGGAGTACACAGCAAGCCCCTGTCTCAAAACAAGCGAGCAAGCAACGTTTGGAAATTTCAGCCTGTACAGTAAAGGTCGCCCATGTTTTAGCTCCCTGTCTGTGCAGTATCATAATATTCTAGTATTCTTCAGAGAGCCAAGTGCCAAAACCTCAATGGGGCTGTCTAGGGTGCTGCTGCTGTGCCAGAGGCTCCAGGACGGAGCAAGCACCAGACCCCACCCGTCTCTGTCCCAGACACTTGCTTGATCTGCAGCAGCCCGGATCTTCCCCAAGCCCACAGGCGGCTTCCTTCTGTCCTCCGAGAGCCTGAGAGCCGTGCCGGCCACTGGCGGGACCCTGACCCAGCCAGACACGGGTCCCCTGCACTTACCGGGCTGTGAGTCCCAGAGGACTGGCACTGTCGCCTTGGGAGCAGGGGGATGGCGAAGGGGCCTCCACGCAGCGGCACCTGCTCAGCCTCCGGGAGGAGAAGCTGACAGCTAGCACAGTGGGGAAGGGGACACTGCGCTAAGTGAAATAAGCGGGATGCTGGGCGACACAAGGCTCCTGGGGCGGTCACATCTGTGGAGACAGGAGCAGAGTCGGGGGCACAGAACTGAGAGAGGGGTGTCGGAGGTCACTGTTGGGGGGACGATGGGAAACGCCCTTAGCCGGATTGCGGTGAGGCACTACAAGTGTACGGGATACCACTGACCTCTACACCTAAAAACAATTAAGACAGTAAGCGTTAGGTGAGGTGCATTTTACCACAATAAGGAGTTGAAAGAAACCCCCTCAGCTATAAGAACAATGCATATCTGGTACAACTGCAGTTTGTAAAAGTAAGGGTGCTTCTGGTATGCCTAAAGGAGTTCTGAGAGAGCGGAACAGACAACACCCAGTCAGCCGTGAGGAATATTGGAAAATCAGCAATGTTTTTTCACTGTGTACCTTCTGATACTGTCTGGAATTTTAACTTATGATGTGCAGGTCTTAGTTTTCTTGTTTTTGAGACAAGTTCTTGCTAAGTTGCTGAACTGCCCAGGTTGGACTGGAGCTTGAGATCCTCCTGCCTCTGCCTCCCGCAGTGCTGGAATTGCAAGCATGCACTACCCTTGCCTGCTAGGGTTAGTCTTTTTTTCTTTTCTTCATCAGTAGTGTTTATTCATGTGAACAGCTTTACAAAAATAGCTGTCAACTTGCGTAGCACACACTCACTGACAGCTAGTTTTGAATACACACTGTTACATATTATGTGTCCTGACTTCCACGGGAATGGAAAATTAAGGAACAGGAAGAACTTTTTAACCTGCTGGAATTCTAACAACCTCTGCTTACTAAACCTCTGATTTTGGTTTTTCATCTGGTCTTTTGCTGTTACATAACCATTACTGGTCATATCAGAAAAGTGCCTGAGGTGATCAAAAGCAGCCACGTAATCCTGGGATCTGATACTCAATCAGCCCACAGAAAGTACCGCTATTCCCTACCTTCTCATAAACCCACGACAGAGGCCCACAACTCATCAAAAAAGACAGACTGGCTTTTTTCTAACATTTTATCTTTTTGAGACAGGGTCTTGCTATGCAGTTCAGGCTGGCCTTGAACTCACTTTGTAGCCCAGGCTGGCCTCAGACTTGCAAAGATCCTCCTGCCTCAGCCTCCCAAGTGCTGGGATTACAGGCGTGCACCACTATGCCCGGCTTTTTCTAACATTTTATTTTTTATTTTTATTTTTTATTTTTTTGGTTTTTCTCCGGTACCGGGAACCGAACTCACGACCTTGCGCATACCAGGCAGGTGCTTTTGCCGCTGAGCTAAATCCCCAGCCCCTTTCTAACATTTTAAATGAACATGGCACAAACAGGTTTTTCTTGGTGGTTACTTGAGACTGGGCCTTGCTATGTAGTTCCGGATGGCCTCAAACTAAGATTAGTTTTTCAGTGTCAAGCAAATTCTTGACCCAGGTGTCCTCTTCCATGGGTCCCCTGAATCACTGTGGGAGGAGCCATTGAGGATTTTACTGATTCCTCATGCTGGTTTCTGCTGAGCTTTTTTTTTTTTTTTTTGTTTTTCTCCGGTACCGGGAACTGAACTCACGACCTTGTGCTTGCCAGGCAGGCGCTTTTGCCGCTGAGCTAAATCCCCAGCCCCAAAAGTAGCCGCTTTTTTTTTTTTTTTGGTTTTTCTCCGGTACCGGGAACCGAACTCATGACCTTGCGCATGCCAGGCAGGCACTTTTGCCGCTGAGCTAAATCCCCAGCCCCTTGCTGAGCTATTTTGCACTGCAGGTTTGGTTTCTTGTACAAAACCCTGGGTTCCAAAGGATCGTACTTAAATTACTTAAAAGCGGGACAACCAGGGTAAATTTTAAGATTTAGTTAGACTGCATTTGAGTGACTTGATTTACCACAGACAAGTGTAGAAGAGGCGTCTGTGTTTCTAAAACAAGTTGAGCAACGGTCCAGAAGACATTTGGCAAAACCCGAAGCACAGAATTTCTCTCCCGCTGCGCTCTGGTGCCTTTCGCGGCGTCCAGCGGGTTCTGGGCAGCGTGGAGCCGGCGCTCAGCACATCCGCGTGGGCAGAGCCGGCTCAGAGCGGTTTCCACGGCAACCGCGAGGACTACGGCACTGTTCATTCTGGCGACGTTGGCCCTTTGGTCATCAATCACAGAGTAAGAAGTAATTGAATTACCTGGTGAATTAAAAAGAATGTTAAGTAAGACATTTAAGCCTTTAGGGAGGACAGAACAAGCAGGAATGAATTTAAAATTAAAAAAAAAATTTAAAATGGTTTCATCGGTACGTGTGTGTAGTACGTAGTGTCTGCATTCCTCGCGCGGAGATGGTCCGCGCACACAGCACACCTTCATCCGATTTTCATCTCCTTCCCCTCCCCTTCCTCCCTCTGTCTCTTGATCCCCTAGCCCTCTGAGAAAGATCTACTGCATCTCCCTACTTCCTATTACCTACCTTTTATTTTGCTCTTCCTATTATTATTTGTATTTTATTTGGGGTTCTCATATACAAGAAACCAGGTGATATTTAAACTTAATTCATTTCACTTAACATTATGGTCTCAAGGTGCAGCCATTTTCCTGTAAATGACTCAAGTTTATCCTTCTTTGTGGCAGAGTAGTACTCCACAGTGTGTAAATACACTTTCTCTATCCCTTTATCTTCTGATGGACACCCAGGCCCCTTCGAAGACTGAGCTATTGTGAGCTGTGCTGCTATGACTATGGGTGTGTGTGGATCACTGCAATGTGATGTCTTTAACTCTTCTGGGAAGAATTTTTTTTTTTATTTTTATTTTTTGCTTTCTTCCGGTACCAGGAATCGAACTCACGACCTTGCGCTTGCCAGGCAGGTGCTTTGCCGCTGAGCTAAATCCCCAGCCCCTTGGGAAGAATTTCGAAGGGACATAGTTGGGTTGAATGGAATTCCTAGTTTTGGTTTCCTGAGATAGTTCCATAGTGATTGTCCTGGTTTACATTTCCGCCGGGAGTATCGCCTCACCAGGATCTGTTCTTGTCTGACTTCTTGGTGGTGGCCATTCTCCCCAGCGCAGGATGGGATCTCAGTGTTGTTTGATTGCATTTCTCTCCTGGCCAGCGATGTTACTTTATCACATAATTACTGGTCATTTGTACTTCTGAGAAGACTCTATTCACTTCGCTTGCCCACTTTTTGATTTTATTTTTGGAGGTCCAATCTTTCTGAGTTCTTTACATAGTCCAGGTGTCGGTCCTCTGTGTGAGGCATTGCGGGCACAGCTCTTCCTGTGTGGCAGGCTGTCTCCTCGCTCTCAGGTCTTGCTGTGCCGAAGGTTTTTAACCTGATCTGACCCCGTGTGTTGATTCTGGGCACTACTGCAGGAGTGTGTTTGCACCGCCTCGAGGGCTCCTGCATGAAAGCGCTGGATTAGGAGCAGTCGTGGGGTGACCAGGTGGTGGCGGTCAGGGTCAGGGTCAGGGTCAGGGTCAGGGACAGGGACAGGGTCAGGGTCAGGGACAGGGACAGGGTCAGGGTCAGGGTCAGGGACAGGGTCAGGGTCAGGG